CAAAATCTACGAGCGAGACCATCGAGCGTACGAGTCCGCACAAGGTCACAAACAACAGAGGTGTTTTGCAGTACACTTAGACGAACAGATACATTAAAACAATCACTGGCACAGTTGGTTATAATAATAATTGTTTCCATTATACCAATCGCGTTCTCTTCATAAAAAAAGATCATTATAACAGAAACCTAAATTTTGAGATATCGCTGTTGGTAAACTGAATCAAATGCATTAGTTTATGTGATCTCCCAAATCAGCAAAATTAATAAAAAGTTAGATGCCTTATGATCTATTCTTTACTTCGCGTTTCACATCCGTTGGACAGTCATTCAAAATAATTGGTTTTGAGATGATAGTGAAGATTTGTAGCTCAGGTGTATGATTTCGGTGGAGTTTTGTTTTTTAGGCTGGATGGTTTGGTCATGAAGCTTTCATCGTTCTTCTGAACGACATCATCAGCACAAACTTTAGGCAAATCACTGATCTGATGAGATTTCCGAAGATATTTAAAGGATGGCAAACATAAATGTTAATTTGAATGGTTTTAAATGCCAGTGGAACTAAAATCACTACTCAGATATTTAAACGCTTTATGGATGAAAAACTAGGGGACTGAACCTTGCTTTCGCGTACACAAGAAACGTTACATCTGACAGCTTATCGATCGATGAGATTTAGCATCTTACCCTATCTGGACGATTCACACGCGACTCCGTAGTCAGCAAGCTAAACAATTGGACCACAGGTCTCAGTTTACAGAAGATAACAAGCTTGCCCAAGGTAGCGCAGAAGAATGAATAGATTGGCCTGTCCGAAAGCTAGAATAAGTTATATAGGTTTGACATAACAACCGACACTACAGTAACATGAAAATCACAACGAGGGAGTAGTTTATATGAATGCCACCTAGTCGATATTTTATACCTGGCTTACTAATGAAATTGATGAGTCGCAATAAATAACCGAAGGTTTGTCTATTGGAATTATAACCATGTTAGGGATGGAGTAGTGGTCGTACCTATTGGCAGTTTGCTGTGCCTATAATATAACAAGTGATAGGTACCAACGGGTTAAGATGATGAGTTGTAGTTATGTAGGGTATATCAGTGAAGGTAACAATGAGTAGCAACTGAACACGGGGAGATTTAACTGTTATGATCAATGCATTGTAGAAACCTGTTCTGGAAATAAAGCCGACGACTCTCTACGGCACCAATCTACAAAGTTAGAGAACTGATTCGCTTAATGACTGACAGAGAAATAGACATTAGACTTCCAGAACTGATGATTTGACAAAGATCCTGACTCTGTTAGACGCTAACCACTCCCTCGAACGAAGGCTCTCAGTTAGTCACCCGACAGTCCGCGCTTAGCTCTCCTCATGCAACTAGCTATTTACTTAGGTGCATTATCGGTATGCGGTTGACCATAGTATTTCTTATGACTATTGACACCTACTTTCTTTTTGTTCCGAGTACGTTTAAACAGAGAAAATCCAGGAACACACATGATGCAACACTACCATGACCTTTGTAAGGGAGGGAAATTGCGTTAAGTTCATCAGATCATAACTAAAGGAAAGTATTTCATAGATCAATCTCTAAGTTAACTGTTACACACCTACCCGAAGTAGACCCCACGTACTTGTTTAGTCAGAAATCAAGATAATATGTACTACAGGATATCATACTACTTCGAACGTAATGAAGGATTACTAAGATCTGCTAACTGACAAAAGACAGGATCTGGTGATGCAGTTTACAGTATTTAAACCATATAACCATAATCTGAATAACATGACGAGATTCATGTGACCATGCAAGTAAGAAAGCGAGTATAAATATCGCTGTCTCGACAAAAATATTAGGCTTGGTTCATATAACATAGACAAACAGAAAACACGGGATTTCATCAGGTATTATATTCAGCGACTACAAACATTAGTCTGAGATGGTCCACACGTATATGAGAGTGATAAAATAAATCACTGACCTTAATTTTCAAGTAAACAGAATTTATTATACTCGCTGTCCAGCCAAGTCGATTACGAAATTACCACTGAGAAGTACAAGTTGAGATGAATGATTTCCTCTGCTTATAACAAGCGATATAGGAGGCTCGGTATCCATCCTTAGATTATTAGTCATCAAACACATAACTGACAAATTCACACTTGCCATGACTTACATACTTTTGCTCCTAATGTGTTGTTAAACCTGACTCAAAAATAACCAATCGAAACATTTACATTATTGACAGACCACGCAAAACGAATCATGGGGCACTAACGGGATATAAATAATGGAATTACCCGGTAGACTAGCATGTGACCAATATTGAGTTTGAGCCCTTCTAATTTGAGGGAAGTAGCAGAACAAATGCCAAGTGGTTTTATCGCTTCACCACAGTAAGTTAATCTAGAACGTATTTTAAATGAGGTGATCTCAATACAAACCAGTCCTCGCACATAACCAGATTCTCACAAATAGTGGAATTGCCGAAGTTATCTTTGTAGAAAATTCCTATCATATTAAGACGCAGATATACGAACGAAGAATAAACGTTTCAATAAATTCTCTTCAGGTTCCACAATTATATATACAAATTAATATCCATAAAATTGACCAGGCCTAAGGCATTGTACATCATTTAAAATTATAATATGTTGATTTAAGATCGTTTTTAATATCAAACAAATTCGTCCATGTCAGGATGACTAATATAAAGTGCTGACTTGGATAAATTTATACGTCAGATGAATGCTCAAAATAAATATAGTTATTATGGAGAGAGACGATAGTGTCATTACAAATTGGAGCTTACGCAATACGTAGAATAATATGAATTAGACAACAATTTTTAGATAGGGGTGGATGTTGAATTAATACCTCAAAAAGACTAGCAAGGGTGGTAATAATAATGACAAATAATAATAAATGTGTGATAAAGATAAGTTTAGAATATGAAAATGAACAATAATATATTTACGTCACCCCATCATAAAAATGACTATTAACTAATTAGGACAGAAGTTTGCCAAGGTAAAATTTGCGGTTGAACATACTTGTTCTGGACGCCAAGCTCCGACATTTTTAAGCCAACAGCAATTGCCACAGCCATCTGGAGGATTTAGGCAGGACGATATATAATTATGAACGATTGTCCAATTTTGTACCAAATGAGCTAAAATCGAGCTGTCAAAAGTTTAAACTATACCTTTGCTTAACATTACTGGGAGGTACTAGCGAGCACGAAAATAAAAATTCTTGAGACACCTGCCAATATAATTCGCTCTACGACAGCAGATAAACTGATTGATACTGGAGGCGGCTAGTCTAATTAATATATCTTTCAATATCGCATGTGTAGAACACAATGATTGTAATTTACCGGCATTAAAAGATTTATTGAGTTGCTCTGTGCAACTTTAGTAACAGCAATTTTGTGGCTGCTTAACCTCTAAATTACAGGCGCATATACAAAATCATTTTGCCCACAGTTCGGCCTTCCTTTATTACCCTGAATAGTTTAACATAAGCGTGGTTGATGAAATGTTAGAATTTTCAGATTCTAATTGTTGAGGTCTTACAAACATTTTTCTATAATACTAGAAATGTTACTAAAATCCTACGTTTTACAGTCACGTTTAACCTGGCTGACTCAGGGCTCTTTACTCGAACACTACCAGTTTAGTCAGAGGTTATGGCGAACTGTCATCTGATTTTTCAACCTCAAGTGGTGTTCGTCAAGGCTGTCCACTATCTCCATTTTTGTTCATTTCATCATAGATCTACTGATGGAAACAATGTTCTCGTTGACTGAATTTTCGGGAATTGATCTCCTACCAGGAGGTCCGTTTATCGACTTAGAATACGCAATGATATAGCTCGGTTTGGTGAAGACGCTGATAAAATGTCCAGGATGTTTGTGATGCGTTTCTCTCGCTCTAATTGCGAATTGTTGCTCCAGGACTAGCCTCGTCAACTGAATTTCCGAGATATCCGTCTCTCAATTAAGGGACGAGTATACTGCGCAGCAGTTCGATCTGTTCTACTTTACGGCTGCGAAACGCGACCATTGAGGGTAGAAGATACTCGTAAGCTACTAGTATTTGACAACAGATGTTTTAGAAATAATACTGGTATCTGCTGGGCTCACCGGGTAAGTGATAGTGTGGTTAGACGTAGGGTATTGGGGAATGATGGTAAATCAGTTGATGAGGTTGTGAATCTTCATCGACTGAGATGGTTGGGCCACGTGTTGCGTATGCCTGAACACCGATTACCACGACGCGCAATGCTAACCGGTGTTGGGGATGGTTGGAAGAAAGTTAGGAGCGGCCAAAGCAAAACGTGGCATCAGTGTTTGAAGTCATTAACTTCTGGTCTGAGTCATGTTGGTAGATGTAGACTACTTGGTTGGTGTCCGCGCGAATATCGTAACCAGCGGTTGGAGACTGTGGGTGACATGGCTCAGAATCGATCACAATGGCGTCGGTGTATACACTCTTTCTCTTCCCTTAAACTGAGAGATTAAAATCGCTTCATATCTTTCTACGTACTAATATATATCACTACCATTGAAGTAGGTACTATTAATCCGGTGTTAATCTTGCTGTGCTGTGGCAACTTGGACCGATGCATATATGTGCCTGGTCCTACGTTGTAGCTGACTGGTGTTTTGTCATCAGATATTAAAGCTACAGTTCCCAAACATTTTACAAATTAACGAAATATGAACTATATATGCTATGAATAGAAAACCAGAAGTATATGCTAATTAATCACCTGCAACTATATTGTGAATCGCGCTGAAGATTTTATGGCGACAGGTTAAGATCAACAAAGAAACAGTACAATAACCATATTTTTTAAAAGTTGGTTTCTTTGATATAAACAGTGACTGGATTGATGATGGTAACAAACTACCCAGAATCAATTCGTCGAAAAACACTATTGACCAATGTTTTATAGCTCACACTCAAGAAGCACGAGAACTTTGATGTATAAATTGTATATTTGAAAAATTCTCATATTATAAATTAGGACGCCATATATAAGCGAACAATATTGTTTTCGATTGGATCGTCATCAGGCTTTACTCTAAGATACAGTAATATTTATATGCATATACGAAATTATTCAACCAATCAAGGTAGTTTGTAAGACAATGACAACAGTGTAATAGATTACATAAATATACATAATAGGTAAGAGGTACAAAGTGATAGTGACAACAGGTGTACTAGTTGTGATAAGAATAATAAGTTTCATAATGAGAAATAGGTCAATGATAGAAAAATGTAGACACTGAAATAATATTTATAAAATTATAAGATTATGTAATAAGTGTTTAGATAATTGAACAATTAAGCGTGTATAAAAAAAGGTGGGAGGTGGTGAAGAAAATAAGCGAACAAAGAGTATGGAAAATAATTACAAATAAAACCACTTAAGGCCAAGGGAGAGACAAAAATGTTGCAAATTGCTTATGAATACAAAGACTTGGATTGTTAGCTCGAATTCCTATAGCTTCTGATATATGTAAGAGATGAGATCGAACCCCATAAGGAAAATTGGTAGGAATACGATAGTAATTTCGTATATACATATAAATAATACTGTATATTGGAGTAAAGCCTGATGAAGATCAAATCGAAAACAATATTGTTCGCTTACATATGTTGTCCTAAATTATGTCTGTAAAAAAACTAATTCAAAGTGCTCACCATATAAAAACTTTAAATCGCCTCATGCTACTGCACAACTAAACTCAAATTTATATTAGCATATGAAAGATAAAAACACTAAAAATTCTTCAACATAATAATGATATTAGTTTTCAAGAGAAAACATGTTGATCGATTAACGTTAACATTCGTGGCTTAGTATGAAGTAGTCAGTGAATTAATTCTCTCTACACAAGACCAAACATAAATTGAGCCATTCCCAGAACCAACCACCAAAACATCATTATGATATTCCAGCTGCAAAAAGGTGAATAAAAGAAATTGTTTTCATGAGAAGACTTATGGGTCGTTTGAAAACTGATCATATTAGTAATAAGAATCTGCTCTTCAGTCCGTGAAACCACAGCGACTTAATAATGAGTTTTTTCCACAATCATTGAAGAGCAGTAAATTCAAATCATAAGATTAAAGTGTGTCTGAAACGATTTATTGTTTATTTTTAATAACTCCTTAAAATCACATAGTTAAAAACATGATCGATTGTATATGTTCGGTACTCCAGAAAACAACAAAGTTAAGACCACTTTAGATGATCATTTACCATTTGCCCGCATAGTGTTAACAGGTATCATAGTTGGATTATTTAATCTTATTAAAGAATAATTCACCTAAAAATGCAGTCCTCAGATTAGGCTAAGATAACTTTAAAAACCTGTGTGAATTCACAGTAATTGGAAACAAACACTGAAAAGAACATATTTTTGATTGCCTAAAAATATGTCACACTTGAAGTGAAACAAGCCAGGGACAAAGTTATGGAAAAATGTGGTCAAGACATGTCAGCTTACTAAAATAAAAACATAACGAGAATTCTGAGATAAAAAAAGGTCGGTGAAGACCAACATAAAAACACTTTTGTGCTTGACGATACTTATTTTCTCGTACACCCATAACTCAACGACAGTCTGTTATATACTAACAACTTGCTAAACGATTTCACTATAATCGTCACTAAAAAGGCTGTTTTCGAAACAGACATCAGAAGGGAATCGTGCCAATCTTTGAGATTTTTTTAAACAAGGAGTTGGGTACAGTACATTACCAATTTACTTTGAGCTAGATCCAATAGGGCCATGAACAGACCTGTTTACTTGTTTGGGTTAAACCAATCATGGTAAAACGCAGATGTGAAAAACCTCGGAGTTAGGACAAATAACTTACTGGTAGATTGTATATTGTCTACATAAACTTACTCTCAGCTAAGATAACATTTTCACCTAATATTATATAAAACATGAGTATTATTCAGAAGAAAAAACTGAATGAGAAGATGGAGAAATTAGTAAACAATCATATGTAAATATTTAATTTTCTGGAAGCACACAATTATTCATTTGCATTCAGGGATAATTTCCCAGATGAAGGATGGGTGCAAAGTTTCATTAGTCACCATCAATAGGTACAGTTAGTAAGATATGATGTTGTGAAAGAAATTGAATAACTTAATGAGATATGGAGTAAATGACAACATCAGAGGGTCCGCGTATGACTACTATTTTTAGGATATCGGATATATTACTGCTGTGAATTCTCATATTACGACGCAGCTAATGTCATTGCTTAGTATTCTTGAACACTACTTCATTCGACAAGTCCCCAAAGCAGAACAAGGCTGAGCAAGAACGTAATTATATTCCAAGTAAACAAGAATAAATGGAGATAGAAATCACAATAAAAATAGTATACTTATAACTTTTACACAAGGAGATTCTAGAGTATTCTCCAAGTATCTACTAGTGCTGATGGATTAAGAAATAGCTAATCAGCGTGCCTAAACACAATACAACAAAGAACACGCTTTAATCCAGTACTATATCCTGGTAACAATTACCGCAGTACAAAAAAATAATGGACAGCCGTGTACTGATTTGAAATCCCAATGGATAGACTGAAACATGACAGGAAATATTTAAGGTTGACGAGCAAATAACAAGATCAAGACGACAGTCGATACATAAGTTATTCCATTACTGATTACAGCTACTTTATTTATCGATTAAAACAAATAGTTAAGCGATGATAACAGAGATCGCAATATCGTACTGAAAATAAATAAATTAGCGTCTGTAAACTAAAGGCAAATCATATACACTAGATTGTAAATTATCCTAACAACAGTAGATAAATAGATTGAGAAAATGTGACGAAAAAATGATTGATTATTTTCGTAGACTCAGCTACATAGCCATAAAATTATATTTCATGAATTGCAACTGAGAAACCCCGAATTACTAATTTTCAGTAAAAATGACGGCCTACGATTCGAGTTTTTGAGAATTCATTAAATCAGGGTTATAAACACCTCCCGACTGTGGGTGGGGTTATAAAAGGTCGATCCTAAAAATGCACATCCCCCTTACCCCACGGATTTCCGTCTCCGGCAGTCAGGTTCCAACACGTACGGAGGTAACACACAAATTACTCACGACAAGATCGTGTGTGACCGGCCACAAACAGTTGTCCCTTGGGTACTGCGGTCACACTCTCAGGTCATTAAGACCACTTCTAACCCAATCCCTTTTTCAGGTGCCTCTAGAAGAACCCTTCCACGGTGTGGGCAACCAGAAGGTGAACTTCCCTCAAAACTGTCTAGCAGCACTTGAGATCACTGTATTCATAATCAATCTCCCCCTTCAATTCCTGTTATTCCTCCTGCGTCGACTTTCAACTATAAACTTCCTCCTCAAGTGTCCTCATGATCAATGATTCTAGTGCGCGAATTGCTATCCCAGGTTTCCTGAAACCGCTCCAAACTGCACGTTGGAGCCTTCAACGTACGCACCCCACGTCGAGTTGCTGGGTATGTTCAAAAATAAAATGCGCGAAATGAGAATAAAGAGCAGTATATAAGTGACGAAGCACAAAGGAAATAAAAACGCATGTTATCAGATGATTGAGAATACAATTGGTCTGAAAAAGCGTTGAAGCAATAGAAATTTTCCCGTTCATGGATATAATTGATTTGTGTGAGGACTAGGATACTGCACAACTACCCAAACCATAGAAGGTACATTTCCAAGGGGGCCATACCCCGAGCCTTTGGACTAAACGTCTGATCCAAACGACAGTGGAGAAACCCTCTTTAGATCAATAGTTCCATTTAAACAATTGAGCTTTACTCAATTTATTTTTGCTTTTTATCAGTGTCCGATCATTGTGTAATAACTTTTCTCTAGCTCTTCAGTCTTTTGTTACTATAAACGTTGTAGAGAGCCCTTTCACATAAGATATATATTTGTTTTTTATATAATCTCCTAAGTTTTACATCCTCACTATTGTATACTGATGTGTGTTCAAAACTTCCAACCAAACTCATATACATAATTTCAATACATTTTGTAATTATGATTTGTGAACACTATAGGTTGTAAGCAGTTGACGAAAATCTAACGAGATAGAATAAATTTATGTTCTGTTCAAATCTTTGTTCGTGGTCTCTTCACGATGATAAAGAAAAGCATGTGGTTAGTTTCCTCGAATACAATGGTTTTTATTTTAATAATAACTGATATCATCCATATTAAGTTCGTTTTAATCATGTAAAAACAGAAATTTCGTTTATAGTTACTTTGTAGCTTTAAAAATTCACATGGCTTTAGTTATCTTGTTAGCGATCTGCACTCTATAATGTTCTTCCACCGAACATTTAGATGTAGCAATGGATGAAGTAGCTATTTATTTTGCAATGGACGCAGAAAAACCACACTAAAAAGACCCATTAGAATTGGACTCAGTCACGAGAAAGCTAAAAGTAGAATCCAGGAACAACTGAGGTCACACTTAAGTAGTCCTGAAAACGAGGCCGACCTATATGTTGCTTAGGGAGATATACAAACAGCTGTGGAAACAACAGCAACATCTATTAGTAATTTAAACCAAAGGGTTATGGAAAACCAATGAATTTCTAATAGGTTTATTGCACTGATAGATTCTCGTAAACTCATCCCGTCAGGCTCTGAAGACAATGAAGAATGAGAACAAATCAGATCTAGGTTAACCAAAAGTCTAAGGAACGACCGTGAGCAGTGGTGGGCAACGAAAGCAAAAAGATGGAATAGGCAGAGGCTGTAGGTAACACCAGACAGCTCTTCAGACTAATAAAAGAAACGAATTAAGAAGTCATGTGTAAGTGAGACGATCTCGAAAAAAGACGACACTCTTATCTGCTCCCAGCCCAGACGTTTAGAATGGTGGGCGGAACACTAAGAAACAGTTCAGCTGGTCCTCAGCTACCCTGTGCATCTACTCAACATTCCCAGACAGCTTGAATGGAACATTGAAGTAGGTCCCCCAACTCTAGCTGAAGTTCAAGAGGCTATAGCTAATCTGAAACGAGGAAGAGCAGTTGGTCCAGATGGATTGGCTCCAGAGGTCTTTAAGTGTGGTGGTCCAATTTTAGCGATTAGGTTGAGTAATATTTGAGCTAAAATCTGGGAGTTGGACGTAATCGCATCTGACTGGTTGCAATCACCGATTGTCCCAATACATAAGAGAGGGTTAAAATCATCCTGTGATAACCATAGAGGGATTAGTTTAACTAATATAGTATCTAAAATACTAGCCTCGATAATTATCGGGCGCCTAGCTAAGACTCGTGAACTGCAAACACGAGAGAATCAAGCTGGCTTCAGACATGATCGTGGCTGCATCGACCACATATTCACCATTCGTCAGGTTTGAGAACACAGGCATGCTTATCGGCGTCCGACAATGGTGGTCTTTCTTGACTTAAAAGCAGCATTTGACTCTGTTGACCGAGAGGTTCTGTGGCAGTGTGTCATTGAAAGGTGTAGTTCAGAAGTGCATAAACCTTGTGAAGGCTCTTTACTCGAACACTACCAGTTTAGTCAGAGGTTATGGCGAACTGTCATCTGATTTTTCAACCTCAAGTGGTGTTCGTCAAGGCTGTCCACTATCTCCATTTTTGTTCAATTTCATCATAGATCTACTGATGGAAACAATGTTCTCGTTGACTGAATTTTCGGGAATTGATCTCCTACCAGGAGGTCCGTTTATCGACTTAGAATACGCAATGATATAGTTCGGTTTGGTGAAGACGCTGATAAAATGCCCAGGATGTTTGTGATGCGTTTCTCTCGCTCTAATTGCGAATTGTTGCTTCAGGACTGGTCCGTGTCAACACCTGAACTAAGGATAGGGAGTGAAGTAGTCGAACGCGTTGACAACTTCACGTATCTTAGAAGTCAACCTTTCTTTTATATATATCGCTACAATTGAAGTAACTGCTATGAATTTGGTGTTCATCTTGCTGTGTTAATGAGGTGTGGCAACGTGGACCGATGCATATGTTTTCGTGATGCTATGTTGTGACTGACTGGCTGATAAAACATCTAATCAGGTAAAGGAAGATGTTTTGGTATACAGTATCAACATGTCACGTATAATTAAAAATTAACACTGCTTTAATTTATTCTATTTGTTGAATAGTAATGTTTCAAAATAAAAATGATTTAAGCTACTTTGGTGTGTAACAAAAAGTTAGGTAGCTAACAGACGAACGTACGTGAGCATGAACAAGTAACAAGTCGAGTATGCTAACAAAAAAATGAAATTTAATCTTGAAATTAGTTGTACCAAGATATATGACAAAACCTAAACTCAATCACAAACTATTTAATTGAGACTATACATTCACATCCGAAAGAAAACTTTGGAGTAATCAAGTAGATACTTATAAAGTGTGACAAAATCGCTATAAATCGATATCACTTAATAAACTTCGAATTATTGTATTAACATTTGAAAAAAAACTGTAACAGAAGCTTTGTGTAACTGAGAAGTAGACTTTTCGTTAGCTTACGTGAAATTTTAGATATAAGATGGCAACAAAACAGAAATGTCGGTCGATTAATCTTTTAGTATACATTATAAATGGAATACGGAATAAAAAATTAGATTTTTACATACACTTGTAGGAAGAGCATTAATTTTCTCAGCCAGAGGTCGTTTACTCAATGGCTTCACTGGATTGGTTGGATGATATGCTTCCACAGAACCATGCAAACCAGCAGCGAATACACATCCTAGTGTAGCCTTGAGGCCACCGAAACCACGATTCCATCCAGAAAGTTGGTTAGTCTAAATAATATTAAAGAATTCAGTAGTAAGTGATATACGCACAAGAACAGTGGAGTAGCATATTGAATTTTTAGCTGATAAAGATCAAACACAATGGCCAATATCATGTGGTTTTTGTTTCCTAACACATGATCAATTTAAAATTATAGTTGAACTCAATACTTCCATTGTATTGATTTATTTATTGGTGTAATGTAGTGTTTGGCATACAATTATTCAAGATAGTCGACATAAATAGGGAAAACAGACGACAGAATTTAATTACCTTCGAGAAAATTCGCTAGTTTTTGTTCAGGCAGTTAAGCTATCTTCGGAGAATATCCAGTGAGTTTAGTATATCCTACAATGCAGCTGGCGCAAGTCATACAATTTACAGTATTACTTATTCATATGATCGCCTAAAAAATTCATCAAACTACTTGAGCTGCGACGTATCGAAGAATCAGCAACTCGACGATCGTCAACACTCCACAGTTGTCTGGGTCGATAGAAGTTTAAACCTCACAAACTTCCAATCTTTCCGGAATTAACAATACAAACCTGACCTCAAAGTAGGTCAATAGATAGTTTCACTACACTCTGATGGCGCTTTGAGGCCACCAAAGATATTATTTTCTAATGGACCTGATTACGGGAAGGTCAAGTAGGTATTTAACTTTAGTTGAACAAAACCAATACGTGCACACAAATCTAAATTTTTGCCACCCAACGAATCTGGTTAAACCAACAAAAGTGCATTAGTAATGTTCATAATTGAGACACTACTAGTCAAAGCTTACATATACACAGTTGAACTGGTTTTTTCGAATGTCGAACACGTGAATTCGATTCGGTGGTTCAGCAACCCATAATTCATACTTATCCAAGAGAGACAGCTTTCTTGGGTAACGACTGAGCTGAAATGTTAAGATGGATGAGAAGTTACTATGGCTATCATATGTAAATGCGTAAAATCTAGTCTTGTGAAATAAAGTACTCAAAAGAGTAATACATTATTGGAGAAAATAGATCAGACCACATGATGTACCGAAATTAACCTGATATAGTACTGAAATATTTGACATCTATACATAAAAAGTACTATAGAAGGACAGAGTTTAACTAATATGATGTCTGGAATATAACCCTCAATAATACTTCTATGCCTAACTAGAGTTCGTGAAGAGCCAACCCGAGGAAACTAGGTTGGCTTCAGACCTGGAGGTCGATTTACAGACCAAACATTTACCCTTCAGCAGGTTCTGAAATATTGATACTTTTCGACGTCTGATAATAGTTGTATTCCTTGATCTTCATATGGAGTTCAACTCCGTTGATCATGAGATTCTGTTGCAGTGTTCGACGCTAAAAGGTGTATCAAAGAGGTATATTAATGATATTTCTTCCAACTGAACGCTAGATTCGCTTCTTAAGCTCTTCTAGTAACGCCCAGACTAAATCCACACAGCGACTCGAACACGAGAGAAAAAGCGCGAAACATGGAAGTAAACGCTTTACTCCAAAGGTTCGTTTTTGTACAGAAAATCTAGGGTTTTTATATTATTTTAGATGTCCTTGGGTTTCCGGAAAATTCTGGAATGCTATTAACATAGTAGCAGTATGAGTATTTATCCAATCAGAAACTCGACATGCGACTTTTCATTTTCCAGATGTTTTAGGCAGAACTTCTAGTGAATGCTGATTGAAGTACTTGAGCGTATCAACAGCTTCACTTATCTTGGTAGTCTTATCAGTCCTAATGACACGGTGTCTAACAAAATCTGTACATGGATTTAGAAAGCGCGATTGACTTTTTCCAACTTCTATCACATGTGGTGTTGGGGAGTAATACATATCAACTAAAGAATGAGTTTACTGTGCAGCAGTTTGATTTATTTTACTTTATGAGCGTGAAACATGACCATTAAAAAGAGAGGATATTCGTAGGTCATACGAAGCATTGCTCGTGAATTTTCAGAACCACCTAAGTAAACAATACCTGGTTAGGAATAAGACACCAGATAAATATGGTAAATCGATAGATAGGTTAGTAAATCTTTATCAAATGAGGTGTTTTAGACATGTGTTACGTATCCCCAATCTCGACGGAGAGTGTTTTCTCGTCTAGAAGCGGGCTGGAAGAAAGTTAGGGGCGGCCGAGTCAAAACATATTATCAGTCCATGAAGTCACTGACAATCGGAATGAGCCATATTAATGGGTGTAGACTACCTAGTTGGGATCTGCATGATAATCACAACCAGTGGTCAGAGACTTTCAACGACATATCTCAAAATCGTTGGAAATAACACAAGTCCATCCACTATTTGTCTTCCCTCAGATTCTAAGCTTCTGAATTCCTCACGACCCCCCTAATTTGTACTTTTTTGAATCATATTTTCGATGCCTGACCATTTCTATCACCAACAATAATGTTACTACCTCCACTTTTCTAGAATTCACTCTAATAATTTCATCTCGCTGGGCTAATGGGGAGTAGGGATTTGAAACGATGTAAATACGTACTAGGTTCCAAGTTGTGACTGGCTCCAAAGGATTGGTGGATCTTATTCATAAAGGGAAATCGTTACGAACAACACAACATGAGATCATGGAAAAAATAACAACAGGAAATGAGAATGAATTTAAGTGAATGAAACATTGAGATAAACTGTCTAGTAAAATTAAAGAATATCGTTTCGGCTAATAGAAGTAGAATCCACAATAAACATCTCCTAGTTAGTGTGTTCACTAATATTTGAAATTAGCATAAATCGCAACTGGTACTGCGTTATGTTAGCTGTCACTTGTAGAACGATCATTTATTTCTGCCCAACTGTGTGTACTCTTTTTATCAGCTTATTAGGTACAATCGGTCGGGCTTACGCTGCGTCAATTTATTATGAGGATTTCATGACACATCAATTAAATCATGACATCATTTCGGCAAAGTTTTGTGATGGAAATTTGTCATTCCAATTCATGCTTATTCAATTGTTAGATGCATGAAAACTAAAATATGCTGAATAGAAATTCAAATGTAAAAGTAATCAACATCCTAATAAGCCCAACATAATTTAACCACTACTCTAAAATCTAAAATTAAATAACAATAATCACAGTACATGTGTTACTGCGACTGAGAATTAATTTATATAATATCAACCTTCGGGTTTAATCTGGTTGAATGATTTTTGTGACATCAATCCTTAAATCCTTATCTTAAATTTGAGACAAAACATCGGCTACGATGAGTGAAATGCTAAATTATCGACCCAATCGTTTACTATATCAAAAAGCCAATCTGTTTTCTTTGCAAGGCACGACGATAAAACATTCAATTATTGAGATAAAAATGAATCTTATTTGATCACTAGGACTTCTATTTTTGTTTTAAGAGTATTTGACTCGTAACTAAAATGGCGAACCTGATGTTCAACATCAAGTGCACGAACTGAGCTACCATTACAGTATATTAGGAAAGTTTTTTAACTAGTCAATAGCAAAGAAACTGTTATGATGAAATGGAAGATATTTCTCACCTTGTGTTTGTGAACCGGTTGAGAGAAATTTCTCATATCCCAACCAGCAATATATTGATCACTGCTGCCAGTGATTAGGTGAACGTTAGAAAATGATTGTTTTGGCGAATGGTTTAGGTCAGCAGGTGGTGAATTAGTTTGTATATTCAGTTGGTCACAACTTATTTCGTCTGAATTACAATTTGCGGGAAATGATACAGGACTGGGTTCACGTCTGTCCAGTACAACAGTTTCCATTTCAAATGGATCAATCATACAGTCTTCAAAATTTTCTTCACTTGCTGTTACAGATGACAACTCTGAATGATAATCATATTCTACACATATCTGGTCACAGTTATCACCACTACCACTAATACAGTTTTTCACAGAAGTACAGCTTCTTGAAACAGCTGAACGCAAACCATTTTCATATATAGCATCTATGCAAAGAACAGCGTTTTTATGACACAAACGATTCGATGAATTTTGTTCAAACGAACGTATATCTAATAGATAAACATTTCGATCATGTGTACCAACTGCCAAAGTATTGGAATCCAAAAAGCTTGAACACAGTACAGGAGTGCCTAATCTGTAGGTAGTAAATGAATGGACAAAACGCACTATCGTCTAGTACAAAGATTCAATAGAACAGTAATGCGATGATAGAGGATAATACAAATTTATGAGCAGTTATATTTATCTTAAAAGGTAATAAACACTCCTATTAACCCCATTGTGCTAACTAACAAGTAACATTTATTGGTCAATCTGTGCAATATAACTTTTAAATCATAAATTGCAAAACGTGATACTTTCAAAACGTGTTGGCATCGAATAAACAATGATAAAGCACAATGGATTAAAAAAACTTATCTGACAGTAGCGAAACACAGAATGCACTCAGATGATTAGATTGTCACTAACTTCAAGTACTATGCTCAAGCTGACTTTTTATGATGTAAAAAACTAAAAAAAATCATAATGAAGGAACAAAGTGACTATAAAAAACAACCTATTATCATTTACTTTTCGTCGCACTTACTGATAAATTGATTGGAATGCGAGGCCAGAATTTGTCAACTTCCAAACTCTTAAAGCACCATCCCATGAACCTGTAATGACAGCATCATCTGTTGAATTGATAGTCCATATCCAACCCTGAAATATAATTACCAAATTAAATGAAGTATTTACTTGTTTGAACACATGAAGATTGTTCCAGGTAGGCACCAAATACATGCGCCACACAAAACAACGAGAATCGTAAGATAAAAAAAGGAAAGTAAGGAGCGTAAAAGAAAAACAAGAACAATAACGAACAGATTAATATAAGGTAGTGTAATAATAAAAATGATAATAATAATAATAATAGAGGAAACGGAAAGGTACAAGCAGAAGAAATCATTCAGTTAGAGAAGATACAACCACTTTATATGAAGGAAGTAAACGAAGGTTACAGCAAGATCGTCACTCCTTCTATTCAGAGTCATTTCTCATAGCGTCGCTAGCCACTGTGTTGCACCATCTCTCGGACCCCAACCAGAGAGTCGTGAAGGACAAACAGAAGCCAGCCCTTTGTAGCTTCCTTTCATACCACGACACTATGTCATAACACTGACCACCTCTCCGCATTTTCTGACCAGTCCCAGAGTCGTCAAGTAATGCACGACGTGGAATTCGCTAATACGACACTCGAAGAACATGTCCAAGCCACCGAAGTCGGTGTTTCAAGATAGTGACACCAATTGGATTATCGTCTCTGTGCCCGAACACATGATGCTGAATTTCTGCATTACTAACATGATGTTGCCACTGGCTGTCAGCAATCCTTCGGAGACAGCGATGATCGAACACAGATAGTCGTGTAACATCCTCAACTCGGAGAGGCCAGATTTCACAAGCATAGAGCAGAACTGCTCTCACCGACGCGTTGTAGATCCAACCTTCTACAGCCAGACTAACATCACGAAGGCGTCAAAGATGGACCAGATTGGCATAAGTCGCTCACACCCAGACTTCTTGATGCCTGTGGCTCGGATGAGTTGGAAGAGCTTCCGGTAGTTACCAGATGCAGATGCTGCTTCCAAATCATTAGCACGCTACGACCACCAGGTTTCTCGGTCCTTACGCAAGCTTTGCTCAATTTCATTACGTAACAGTCGTCGTTTCTTGTCAAACTCAGGGTTACCCGGAGTAGACCGACGGGCTTCAATGAGTTGTAAGGAGCCTGAAGAAACCCAGTGCTTATAAGCTGGACATTTCGCAAAACCTCAAGCGGCTTTACTCACCATTTCCATGGCGTCGTGCAGTTGCAAAAAATGCTCATCTATACTTTTCAGTGGAATGGTAGCTAGCCTAGAAGCTAGCTTGGTGCGATACCTAGTAGCAACAGAAGTTGCAACCAACTTGCTGATATCAATCCTTTGGTGGCGGTCACTTCGTTGGCCACTGAAAAGTAAGGTAAGATTGGCGCAGACCAGGACATGATAAAAAACCAAAGTTGAAATAATGGATAAATAAATTGATAGACATATGCATACACACATATACAGAGAGATTATAAATATTAAAATATCCAGGATATGAAGTTTTTCAACCTTTGGTTAAGGATTGTGCTTATGATGAATTCTCTCAACCACTAGTTCAATCGCCTTTCTGAATAGACTTAGTATGGATGGATATATACCTCTGTGATCAATATAAATTAAATGCTGAATTTGTTTATGTTAAGTAGTCAGTCAGTCAGCAACAACGTAGCACCAGGCATATATATGCATCGGTCCAAGTTGCCACAGCACAGCAAGATTAACACCGGATTAATAGTACCTACTTCAATGGTAGTGATATATATTAGTACGTAGAAAGATATGAAGCGATTTTAATCTCTCAGTTTAAGGGAAGAGAAAGAGTGTATACACCGACGCCATTGTGATCGATTCTGAGCCATGTCACCCACAGTCTCCAACCGCTGGTTACGATATTCGCGCGGACACCAACCAAGTAGTCTACATCTACCAACATGACTCAGACCAGAAGTTAATGACTTCAAACACTGATGCCACGTTTTGCTTTGGCCGCTCCTAACTTTCTTCCAACCATCCCCAACACCGGTTAGCATTGCGCGTCGTGGTAATCGGTGTTCAGGCATACGCAACACGTGGCCCAACCATCTCAGTCGATGAAGATTCACAACCTCATCAACTGATTTACCATCATTCCCCAATACCCTACGTCTAACCACACTATCACTTACCCGGTGAGCCCAGCAGATACCAGTATTATTTCTAAAACATCTGTTGTCAAATACTAGTAGCTTACGAGTATCTTCTACCCTCAATGGTCGCGTTTCGCAGCCGTAAAGTAGAACAGATCGAACTGCTGCGCAGTATACTCGTCCCTTAATTGAGAGACGGATATCTCGCCTTCGCCATAGGTGACGTAAGTTGGCAAAAGCCAAACGAGCTTTTCGAGTCTGTGTAGATTTCGTCGGACACCAACCCATTACGGCTGATCACACTTCCAAGATAAGTGAAGTTGTCAACGCGTTCGACTACTTCACTCCCTATCCTTAGTTCAGGTGTTGACACGGACCAGTCCTGAAGCAACAATTCGCAATTAGAGCGAGAGAAACGCATCACAAACATCCTGGGCATTTTATCAGCGTCTTCACCAAACCGAACTATATCATTGCGTATTCTAAGTCGATAAACGGACCTCCTGGTAGGAGATCAATTCCCGAAAATTCAGTCAACGAGAACATTGTTTCCATCAGTAGATCTATGATGAAATTGAACAAAAATGGAGATAGTGGACAGCCTTGACGAACACCACTTGAGGTTGAAAAATCAGATGACAGTTCGCCATAACCTCTGACTAAACTGGTAGTGTTCGAGTAAAGAGCCTTCACAAGGTTTATGCACTTCTGAACTACACCTTTCAATGACACACTGCCACAGAACCTCTCGGTCAACAGAGTCAAATGCTGCTTTTAAGTCAAGAAAGACCACCATTGTCGGACGCCGATAAGCATGCCTGTGTTCTCAAACCTGACGAATGGTGAATATGTGGTCGATGCAGCCACGATCATGTCTGAAGCCAGCTTGATTCTCTCGTGTTTGCAGTTCACGAGTCTTAGCTAGGCGCCCGATAATTATCGAGGCTAGTATTTTAGATACTATATTAGTTAAACTAATCCCTCTATGGTTATCACAGGATGATTTTAACCCTCTCTTATGTATTGGGACAATCGGTGATTGCAACCAGTCAGATGCGATTACGTCCAACTCCCAGATTTTAGCTCAAATATTACTCAACCTAATCGCTAAAATTGGACCACCACACTTAAAGACCTCTGGAGCCAATCCATCTGGACCAACTGCTCTTCCTCGTTTCAGATTAGCTATAGCCTCTTGAACTTCAGCTAGAGTTGGGGGACCTACTTCAATGTTCCATTCAAGCTGTCTGGGAATGTTGAGTAGATGCACAGGGTAGCTGAGGACCAGCTGAACTGTTTCTTAGTGTTCCGCCCACCATTCTAAACGTCTGGGCTGGGAGCAGATAAGAGTGTCGTCTTTTTTCGAGATCGTCTCACTTACACATGACTTCTTAATTCGTTTCTTTTATTAGTCTGAAGAGCTGTCTGGTGTTACCTACAGCCTCTGCCTATTCCATCTTTTTGCTTTCGTTGCCCACCACTGCTCACGGTCGTTCCTTAGACTTTTGGTTAACCTAGATCTGATTTGTTCTCATTCTTCATTGTCTTCAGAGCCTGACGGGATGAGTTTACGAGAATCTATCAGTGCAATAAACCTATTAGAAATTCATTGGTTTTCCATAACCCTTTGGTTTAAATTACTAATAGATGTTGCTGTTGTTTCCACAGCTGTTTGTATATCTCCCTAAGCAACATATAGGTCGGCCTCGTTTTCAGGACTACTTAAGTGTGACCTCAGTTGTTCCTGGATTCTACTTTTAGCTTTCTCGTGACTGAGTCCAATTCTAATGGGTCTTTTTAGTGTGGTTTTTCTGCGTCCATTGCAAAATAAATAGCTACTTCATCCATTGCTACATCTAAATGTTCGGTGGAAGAACATTATAGAGTGCAGATCGCTAACAAGATAACTAAAGCCATGTGAATTTTTAAAGCTACAAAGTAACTATAAACGAAATTTCTGTTTTTACATGATTAAAACGAACTTAATATGGATGATATCAGTTATTATTAAAATAAAAACCATTGTATTCGAGGAAACTAACCACATGCTTTTCTTTATCATCGTGAAGAGACCACGAACAAAGATTTGAACAGAACATAAATTTATTCTATCTCGTTAGATTTTCGTCAACTGCTTACAACCTATAGTGTTCACAAATCATAATTACAAAATGTATTGAAATTATGTATATGAGTTTGGTTGGAAGTTTTGAACACACATCAGTATACAATAGTGAGGATGTAAAACTTAGGAGATTATATAAAAAACAAATATATATCTTATGTGAAAGGGCTCTCTACAACGTTTATAGTAACAAAAGACTGAAGAGCTAGAGAAAAGTTATTACACAATGATCGGACACTGATAAAAAGCAAAAATAAATTGAGTAAAGCTCAATTGTTTAAATGAAACTACTGATCTAGAAGAGGATTAGAAAGAGAAACAATGATATAATCAATTGAGATTTTAATAATATTTCATGTCATAACGAAGTGATGTTTGTGTCAACAAGGCAGAGAAAGATTAATAATCGTGCCCTTCTAAACATATAAATCAGGTTTTTTACTCCTAGTAGCGATTCTTCCGGAAGACCTTGGAAGGCTGGAGCTTGGATGTTTATTAAATACCTTGAAAAATTTCAAGGTATCAACTTGATGTCCAAGAGATGCTTGGTGATTGCGCTACTCAACATATTGCTCCCTCTTGGTCGAAGGCTTTTTGAAACAATTCCAAAAAACTTTAGCGATATTCTCTTCATTCTGTTTAGCCGATGTAGCTGTACATTTATATACAGAATCGGTGGAGTATTTGTCGACTTTAGACTGAATTACTGAGAAAGTTATTTTATACAGGACAAAATTTGGTTGCAGGGCAAGTTCTGGCAAATGAAGAGTTAGGCCTTCTGCTGGTTGTGCTTGCAACGTCATCACCTTTCAAGTTGAGATGAGTAAACAAAGGTTTTTTATTGACTAATAGCAACATCCAACTTGTCTTTACTTTTTTTTTATATTTATCAATGAATTTCTATGGACACAAGTTGTCTTCGAGACACTTTTCGATGTTAACCAATTCTTCTTCCAGTTTGTCAGTGACACATACTATTTCTACTCTATAAAAGTATTGTGATCAATGCCTTCTTGTAACGGATTGGACATAAACTATCAGAATTCAAGTATAGACCATTCCAAGTACTTTTTCGATAAACCGAACATTGAACTGTCTTGCCTGCAGTCTGTAGTATGATAATGCCAAGAAGGTGAAGCACGTCGTTCTTTTTGTGCTTCGTAGAAAGTCATCTGTTGTGATGAGCATCATTAAAAAGTTCTAACAGAAGAATCACGAACAATGAACCTGTTGTTAACATATCGCGAGTATTCCGTCATTGTACTCACCGCTTTCTCAAGTCCTGTGTTTTCAAGATAGCCCAAAAAAGATCTACGACAATTGAAATTCTCATTGCAACACCGTCATTTTGACGGTACATAGTGTTGTTAAACTAAAGTTGAACGCCTTTTGTATATATAATTAGCAATCATTTGAATTGACACCGGTAACGGTAGCTCAGAATGTTGGCCAATTATGTTAGTGGTTTTAAGAAGTGATATTTTGGTGAACAAGTATGTTATGTAAAAAGCAACCATCGACTTACCAGAAACTTTTGCGTGATTTAGCCTGTCAGTAAATTATGATGAATATTTAAATGTATTTGCTTTTGGCTTTAACTTTACTGCTAGTCAGCATACAACTTTATGAAACGGCGAATCGATCATTGACAAAATAGGGCTCAAGGGAACAGTGTGTTTGTAGATCAGTGGTAAATATTACACGTTGTAAAAAGCTGACGAAATGAAATGAAGTTATGTTATTATGCTCAAATCTTTGGTCTCAGTCTCTTCATAATTAACTACTACAGATGATTAAAAAAAATACTAAATTATACTTTCTGAACACATACTAAAGACAACGTAAAAAAGAAATATATACCTGTGTTTTTCCTACGAAGTTCACTCAACTATCAAACATCGAATAATATTTATAAGTGCTTAGCAGTGTATGTGCCTCCTCGTTAAATTATTCAGTCGCATGAAGAGAATAAAGCTAATATTTTATATTTCAAGTAGTTGTTGGATTGTGTAAGGTATCTTAAATCATATGAAATTATTAATCAAAATAATGACTACTTGAAAAAAAAACTTACAGAATGACTATGATATTCAGTGAATACAGGAAGCCATGAATTAGAAAACAGTCCAGCCTTGAATGAAAATATTGACACCACTCGACCTCTATCACCCATTATAAGTAAATCTGGATGTTTCTGGAATTAAGATTATCAAAAAAATCTCAATGGATACCAGGGGAATATGTAAAGCGTCTATCCCGTGGCTGACCACGTTCAACTTGGATAGGCGAATGCAATCAACTGAATTTTCCCCGAAGTTTATACAGCACTTTTCTCGTTCAAAACTTGCCGATGCCCAGTCTATGATCTTCTCTACATTTGGTACAAATCAGAATACACAAACCAAATAACCTGGTAAACAAGGGTAAGTTCCATTCCAAAGACTTTGCGAGCGCCATTTCCAATACGACTGCCGATGTAACCAGTGACAAAATTGTGCACACACAGAACATAGTGCAATAAGATCGTTAATCCGCAAATAAGAGCAAATTTGATAAAATAAATCCTGAGGTAAATCTCTGATTTCAACCATTGATTGCAAACACAGCAAAAGTTAAATGCGCGTCAATATTTCCAATTCAAAATAACGTAACCTCTGAAATAAATGTAAATCATAAAGCGCATTTCAGTAAGAACAACTCAATAGAAAAACCTAATAAAAGTATGTGGATAAAAACAAATGTTACGGATGGGTAAATACATCTTAAAACAGACAACGAATACCACGGAAAACGGCATCAAGACCTTCTATTCATTGATAGAATATCAATAAAACAACCTAGCTTCAACTCTTCGACGAAGTGATGGGAAACCCTGTTTTAAACTTGATGGCATGTCCAGCTTTATTGTAACGATATAACGTACTCTATACTAAATAAAGCTTGTAACTTCACTATCTTTAACAATTCAATTGGCCCCCGAAATCCTGGTACTACCGAAGGTGGGGAGAGATCACGTTCTCTCTACAAATGCTTTCACATGGCCTCGCATAGACGGCTACTGCCAGAAAGTCCTACTCACTGCCTTCTCGTGACGGAGGTGTTGTTTATGAAAATGAGAGGACGAAAAGTGAATGCCCGGCGCTTTAACCGGATACCAAACCAATGGTGCACATGGGCTCCAGTATCCTGGGGGAACAAATAGCGTATTTGATGAACCGATCGTTGGTCACCGGCTACCAAGGGACTGCATCTCCTCACGATGTTCCACTACCTTGTGGATTAGACCTTTAGGTCAAAGGCCCGGGGAGTGGCCCCCTAAGATAACCACCTGCTTCGGCCTGGGCATCCGGGCAGTATCACAGCCCACACACAAATAAAGTGAAGGTGAAAATGATTATATTTACTGTAAATTCTATTCACGCCTCAATTGACAGTCAAACAATTCACATTATTATTATTTACCACGTCACTTATCCACTCTCTTTCATTCCCACTTTATGTATCCTTATTTTTCGACTTATACAGCAGCTCGCCTATGGTGGAAACTCGGTTCTATCTAAACGTTCTCGAGTCACTACCTGGTGAAAAATTGTATGCTACCACCAAATACGAATACTGAAGCAGTTTTTCTGAAACCACATGCACCACTCAAACTAGCTGCCTTCAACGTTCGCACACTTATGCAGGTCGGACAACAGATAGGGTTGGCCATATCTTTGCAAAGTCTTAATATCGACGCTTGTTCTCTATCCGAGACCCGTATTCAAGACTCTGGCCAAGTACTACAAATTCGCTCTCCATCTGTCGCTTCAAAAAGCTTGTTTCACGTGCGTTTATCCGGGGACCCTGTGGCATCTTCGTCTGGTCTTGCTGGCGTTGGTGTCACACTAAGCACTAAGTGCGTTCGACAGATACGGTAGTACTAGCCGGAGACTTGAATGCTCAGGTCGGGCGTCTAGGCACAGAAGAGAATCGTTTAGGCGGCCGATGAGGACTTGTTGGTCGCAGGACAGATAACCGGGACCGTCTACTGCAACTGTGCACAGACCACAACCTGTTTCTGGCTAGCACTAACTTTCGGCACAATCATCACCGATGTGCCACCCAGCGTCCTCCCCCTGCATCTCAAGCCAGAACTCAGATTGATCACATCGCGATCAGCTACCGCTGGCGTGGTTGTGTACAAGACTGCCGCTCCTTTTGAAGTACCTATCTGGACTCTGATCATGTCCTGGTCTGCGCCAATCTTACCTTACTTTTCAGTGGCCAACGAAGTGACCGCCACCAAAGGATTGATATCAGCAAGTTGGTTGCAACTTCTGTTGCTACTAGGTATCGCACCAAGCTAGCTTCTAGGCTAGCTACCATTCCACTGAAAAGTATAGATGAGCATTTTTTGCAACTGCACGACGCCATGGAAATGGTGAGTAAAGCCGCTTGAGGTTTTGCGAAATGTCCAGCTTATAAGCACTGGGTTTCTTCAGGCTCCTTACAACTCATTGAAGCCCGTCGGTCTACTCCGGGTAACCCTGAGTTTGACAAGAAACGACGACTGTTACGTAATGAAATTGAGCAAAGCTTGCGTAAGGACCGAGAAACCTGGTGGTCGTAGCGTGCTAATGATTTGGAAGCAGCATCTGCATCTGGTAACTACCGGAAGCTCTTCCAACTCATCCGAGCCACAGGCATCAAGAAGTCTGGGTGTGAGCGACTTATGCCAATCTGGTCCATCTTTGACGCCTTCGTGATGTTAGTCTGGCTGTAGAAGGTTGGATCTACAACGCGTCGGTGAGAGCAGTTCTGCTCTATGCTTGTGAAATCTGGCCTCTCCGAGTTGAGGATGTTACACGACTATCTGTGTTCGATCATCGCTGTCTCCGAAGGATTGCTGACAGCCAGTGGCAACATCATGTTAGTAATGCAGAAATTCAGCATCATGTGTTCGGGCACAGAGACGATAATCCAATTGGTGTCACTATCTTGAAACACCGACTTCGGTGGCTTGGACATGTTCTTCGAGTGTCGTATTAGCGAATTCCACGTCGTGCATTACTTGACGACTCTGGGACTGGTCAGAAAATGCGGAGAGGTGGTCAGTGTTATGACATAGTGTCGTGGTATGAAAGGAAGCTACAAAGGGCTGGCTTCTGTTTGTCCTTCACGACTCTCTGGTTGGGGTCCGAGAGATGGTGCAACACAGTGGTTAGAGACGTGATCCTGTTGTAACCTTCTTTTACTTTCTTCATAAAAATTGACCGTAACTTCTTCAACTGAAAGAATTCTTTCTGGTTGTACCTTTCTATTTCCCCTATTATTGCTACTATTTCATTACCGTATACCAATTTGTGGTCGTTATTGTTCTTTTTCTCATTGTACACGCACCTTACATATTTTATCTCTTCCCATTTTCATTATTATTGTGTGGCGCATATGTATCTGGTGCCCGTTTGTACCAACATTTATGTGTTCAAATGAATAAATAATTAATTAGTAGTGAAATGGGTTCTTGGAAAATCCCTTGTTTCGAATGGAATATATTTAAATGGACTTTAAGCTACACAGAAAAGGCTTGAATTTCGACTCAGTAATGTTCGGAATATAAGTGGCTGGTTTTCTGAGCAACTCCTACTGATTGCTCTACAAATATCCATAATCTTCTCAGCACCTCAATATTTTTTTTCAAAAACGTAGGACATATGTTCTTTGGTTTATTTAATTCCTCAGATTTTAGAGGCTTGGATGTTAAAGAATAACATGGATTAATAAGAATCTAGTCGCCATTCGTTGTTATTCAGTAGCCCAGCTGATTTACACGGGCCGAGTCGTACATTGGCGGTTACCATAGAAATAATTACAGGATATACAAATCGTTTTACTAAGCAGAGGTTCATACACTCGGTTTTATGACATGGTGTCGTGGTACGAAAGGAAGGTATAGGGGACTGGCTTCTGTTGGTCCTTCATGACTCTCTGGTTGGAGTCCGAGAGATGGTGAAACACAGTGGCTAGAGACGTTATCAGATATGAATCAGAATAGGAGGCAGTGGCGATTTTGCTGTAACCTTTTACTTCCTTCATAAAAAGTGGTTGTATCTTCCTTAGCTGAAAGATTTCTTCTGATTGTACCTTTCCGTTTCCCCCATTATTATTATTACTATTATTATTATTACACTACCTTACACCAATCTTTTTTTTCTCATTGTTTTGTGTGGCGCATATATATTTGGTGCCATCTTGTAGCAATATTTGTGTTCAAATAAATAGTAGATAAAATAGCGATTTAGTAAATAATTTTTTGACGAACGAGACAAAGTGATAGTTAATAAGATACCCTTCAGGAAATTACTAAGCAGTAAAATTTAAGTTCATCTGATAGTTATAGATGGACTAAATCGTAAAGATCATGTATAATGCCGACCTGGAGATAACAATAAATTAAAGAATCATCCAAGCTTAGATGAACTTATCGTCAGATAAGTTAATAGTAGTTAATGATAACAGACACATTCAGGAGTGATTAATCTGGTGATTTTTTTGTAGGTAGTTGTAAACTCCAACAGTACCTTCAAAGGATTTTTGAGATACGAAAGACAGTGAAGTAGCTACTACTTTGGGCTTTTGAACATCGTGATTCCTCCGGAAAACTTTGAAGAGTATTGATAAATATTTATTTAGGATTTTTCAAGCAACCTGTATTAAACCTTGTGACGTAAGGCTCAACTGTTTCCAAGATGAACCAGGGAAAACAAGACGCACTTGATGTATGGATAAGTGGTTGTAGTAATTAACTCTAGAGCTATAGTAATTATGGCTACGGTAATCACTAAATTTAAACATCACAGGTTCGAACTCCACTCTAAAATAGTTTCAAAGATAGGATAAAATCAAAATCCCCTAAAAAGTGTCGCAAAGTCGAGTACAAAACCTTACTTTTGAGAACAACCATGTTAACTCCAAATTTAGCAGAAAGCAACTAAGAAGTCAAGGGGTTTGTCTGCTTCTTTTAGAAAACAAAGGATTTTTAAACTCGTGTTTTTTTGTTTTGTAGTAAGTGACACGAGTTACGTTGACATGGCATACACAAAATATATAGACCAACCTAGCAGATTTTGGTGCGAAATCAATTCTTGAACTTTAGTTTCTGTCAGTTCGTGATGAAAACCCTAATAATTCATATACATTCGCTGAAAATTCGTTTCAAAACTGTCCATCAATCACAATTGCATTACTTTTCTATCATAATTGTTTTATAATCAATGTTAACTCGGCTGAAAAGTGGTTCAAGGCTGTGCATATACTTTACTTCTACAGAAATATGATTTGCATAAATCATAGACACATGGATCACTGGAACACACACGTATTACAATGGTCCACTCACCTTAGGATGATTAATTATTCATTGAATTAGCCATGATCGGAAAGCTCAAAAACAGAAAACAGACCTCATAAACCCAAGTTTGTACGGAACAGTCAAAGCTCTTTAAAGACACAGTAAGTGTTGAAAAAACAGTATTGTGTTTGATCCGACCAATTGGTTGAAATTACAATTGGAGATCCTGAAAATAGTTCACTTAATTAGCATCCAACTACAATCGTTCAATAAAAGACATCGATTTAACCAATCAATTTTATAAAAATAAAAGCTTATTTGTTTCTTACCGTTGCTAATGTTACACTGCTCTTTCCTCCTTTAAGCGGTGTCCTCAATCACCTTCAGGAAAATTTTCCTTTTTGCCAAGAACGCAACAACCTTACCGGAGTGTGGTAATAGTTTGGCAGGAGTGCAGTAGTAATTTAACAGTAATGCCAAACTGAAGCGTTCTGGAACACAAAATCACAACAGGATACAAGTTAATTTTCCTCCCTCACTTCGGGATCTGAAACGAAACTAAACAGAACATAACCATAAATTAATTTAACAATAACTTATGTGTAAACTTCAGTAAGCCAAATATCAATTAGGGTCATATGACGGTTTTTGGAGAATATAATGGACTGTCATAGGTAGTCGGGAATGGTCTCTTATTTCACGTGTATGTTCTGAAAACACTGGTTATTTCATAAGGGTCCATTAATTCTCTGTGTAGTTTATAAACTACACAGCAAGCAACACAAAAAGGGGAAATAAAGCGGACGAAAGCGTAAATAAAGGGGAAATGTCGCTTTTTCGCCTTTACGTCGGTTATTTAGGGGAAATGTCGCTTTTTCCCCCTTACGTCGTGTATTTGGGGGAAATTTGTCGACAACTCTACGTATCCTACAGCGTTTGAATGAACCGCATCCAGAACTGAAGTTTTCATAAATTTCGACAAATTTAGGCACCGCTAAATAAAAAAACAAAAGTATTGTCATAGAAACAATGTACAAAATACGGAACCGGGCATTCGGTTGATACGCATATAGAGTGACTTCGTTTGTTGTTTAGCTTAAGTGTTCCGACATGCTTTGGAGCCATCACAAAAACTTACGTGATGCAGGTGAGTGACGTGCTCTCAGATTTTCATGTTCATTGTAACTGATTACCTTGTAAGGCCAATACTATGAGTTCTATCGAAGTCAGTGAGAATATTCGTAGACGTAGGGCCACTGTGAACTTGTCACGTTCCCTTGGCTGTCATAGATCCACTTATAACAGAAGGTGGAATAATATGAAAGCTGCTTTCATGAAAAAATATGACTTCCTTTCGTTCAGTGAGTTTGCTAATGAAAGCACTCTAAAAGGTAACTGAGTTCAACAGTGTTGTTTATTAAATTAGTAGAAGTAAAGACGGAAATCAGTTGTAATGACAGTAAATCAACTACCCAGACAACCCAAAAAGTGGAAATAAAGGCAAAGAAAGGGGAAATAAAGGGGTAAATGCTTTTGTGGCGAAAGGGGAAATAAAGGGGAAAACGCGCCAGAATGTCGCTTTTTTCGCCTGTCCGGGGGAAATAATGCGGATTTTCCCCTTTTTCGCCGTTTTGTTGACAAATTACCGACTTATCGCCTAAATATCCGCCGAATTGCCTACTTATGCGCTTAATTGTCTACTTTTCGCCTACATACACACATTACCTCCTATTTTCTATCCATCGACAGAACCCCAAAGGTCTCCTATGTTCGCCTTTATTTTCAACAACAGACCAAAATATATCTGCAATACAGTGGAAAAGCGGTAAACATTTTAAAAATTTTATTTAAAAAGAAAAGCGTATTATTGTACAACAGTAGAGCACTAGCTTAAGCATCGTTTGTTATGCATATCCAATGCAATTGCTAATTCATTGTTATTTGAAATTATCTGCAAAAGAAGCAACAGGTGATGTTTTATTTATAAGGAATGTGCACTTAACAAAAGTTAACTGACACTCAAACACACATTCTCAACACTTCAACAGTTTCCCATGTAAGTAAAAGAGTAAGCTGTTTGAAAGAATAATGTTTATTGAAATCGAGGTAGAACATCAAAACAATTGCACGGACTATTCCCTTAAGCCACGTTCGTTCTGCTATTGAGAATTGAGGTAGTCGTCCTGTGAATTCTGAATAAAAAAATAAAGTCACAACCATTTCTCAATGGTATGCTTTGGCACAGCCAAATACTTGAAGCTGAACTTACGGTTATGTTCGTTAATATTGTTGACTGTAACTATAGAGCTGTAGGGAGGTTATCACTTTAAATTAGTACATGCCTGGTTTTCTTTTCTTCTATTACGCTTTATCATCTTGTCTCGGATATCGTGAAAGTAACCTTGTGTCGCGATGTCATAGAGCTTACCAAGGTCTTTTTCGTTGACAGAGGATGACAAAAAGCGATGAGTTAAGGCACCTGAAGTTAAAGTAATGGATATAGGTTACTTCGTATGAAGCCGTAAAACGTGCATTTCTGAAGTGCTCGTTTTGAAGAGGTGCCAAGCAACGTGAATTTACTGGCAACCTCAGGTGTCAACAGATGCGACAGAACAAACCGCATGGACGTTTTTGGATCGTCACTTGATAACCTAGTGACCATTGCCATCTGTAATCGTAACAAATTATTGAATTCATGTTAATGACTTACAAATCTGTCCCTGGTTTCTTTCTGCGACAAACCAGTATCCAGCATCTGTAGTTCCTCTTCAGATGACAAAGGGAACTGCTGGCTCGACAGTCCGCAATCGAATTGATGCGGTTTTTCGCGTTCATTACACTTAAATAGCAATTGGTTTACATTAACATTCAAGTCAGTAATGGCGGACGATATGTTGTTAATCGTTTTAGTCAAATCATTGATAGCTGACGACATGTTCAGCACCACAGTATACAACCTATCACAGCTGAAAAAGGTCACTAGATGATGCAGGTTACTTACTGGTCCACTATAGCGCCACCAACATGCTTACATTCCGATGTGGATGGTGATGTCTCTAATTGTATCGAACTAAATCGTGAATATCTAAATAGTAATTAAACGTACTTGGCGATTGGCGATATGGATTTGTCGAAAACACGGAATTTGGAATATTGTACGCGGCTATTCCCAGCCTGCATCTCAGCCACATCCATGTCGACTGAATTGTAAAGAAAATCTTCTTTACGCTTCATTACACCTCTAGGAAATGTAAGTAGGATTATTGTAAAGACCTCTTTGGCTTCTCAGTGTTAAGTGGCAAAGTGTTTTCATCCGTTGAGGTGTTTATCCGTTGAGATTCCAGTATCTGTGGGGCAACTAACAGATCTTTTGCCGACTGTAGAGAATCTATAGTGAATTATACTTTCTGTGTATGTAACCTACCTAATTCGTGAATAACTTTACATTTCATAAGTGACCAATCTTCATTCGGTTGGTCGCACTTCTGCAGGTGTATATTGACCAGCTCGTTCGGAAGAGGGCAAAGGTCATTGCCAACTATCCAGTCCTTCGATGCTATCATAAGTTGTTTTTTGCTGAGGACGTCAACAATGACATACTTCTTGTTAGCGGGCTGAAAATAACATAAGACGTAAGTAAATTATTTGTCGTTATTTATTCAACACTAGTGAAACAAAATGCATTTACAGCCAAGTATGCAGCAATGGGATAAGAACTAAATAATTCCTACAATTTATGGCCATACATTTACAATCTATGTCCTGAACCGAGATCCATGTGTGTTCATGGCTAACTACGGAGCACCTAAAGATTCCAATATCAGTAGATGGAAAAGGATCTTCAAAGTCAATTGCGTGGGTCAGTGAAAGTCCTAAATTTTAGTAGTCCATCCTCCTTTATATCAGTGACTAAACCTGGCTGGCCGTTCACTACTACTACATTATCAGGCTGACATGAAGTTATTTTACTGTTGTTAAACATAATTACTTGTTTAGTGGAGACATCATTAGCGCCTATTGGGGTAGTATTTGTTAAACCACTAATTTGAAGCCTATCGCTGAAGAACATTCTCTCAGCATAACGCTGTGCTGCTTGCTTAGCTACTGCAAACCCACTACGCACGGAATCCTTAATTTGTCTCATACACGACTCGAATGGAAAGGCTGAAAAACTATCTAAAGGTCCAAGTGCACGAACGTCGTCAGAGAGGTGCTGTAACGAATGCACATGACCATAACGTTCTAAAACCTTTTGCGGCTATTGCACGGCAGTGTGCAGTAGTCTTTAAGTCTTGGCTAACGATAACTCCTAAGTCATTATATGTCTGGACGACAGGTAGCTCAGTGTTATTCATCGTGTATGTATCTATCCCTTGATGACCGCTATGCATCACAACACACATGGAAGTATTTATCGGCAACTGCCAGGTTTGAGACCATTCAGATCATTTCTCCAGGTCATTTTGGAGTTCTAAGCTATCACCCTCACATCGTATCGTTCTCCATATCTTGACATCGTCAGCATATAGCAAGACCGATGATGATAGGAGACGAGGAAGGTCATTTACATACAAGAGGAACAGCACTGGCTCCAAAACTGTACCCTGGGGCACTCCAGCTAGATAACTTTGAGTTCACCCGAACTCTTTATTGACGCCCAACTAAGAAGTCTTTTATCTACATGGTCATGCTATCCAGTGTATGTGTGAGGGGATTTGTATGCGCCCATGGGAAGGGTGCTTCTATGGTGTATACACTGCTAAAGTAGTTTGAGAACACTTGAGCCTTACCAAAGTCGTCCTCCACTAGTGACGCGGCAGCACTGTCTCCCCAGAGAGCAGGAATATTTCCTCTGCTCTTTGTCCTTTGGTTTATATAAGAATACAAGCGTTTAGGACATTCTATGGATTCCTCAACAATCTTTTCTTCGTACAACTTTCTAGACTTACGGAGGGTCGAGGGACAGGTATTCCGGACTTTTATATACTGGGATTTAGTTTCATCAGTCCCAGTAACCTAAATCTATCCCACATTTTTCTTCTCTTACGGAGAAGGATGTGGACCTCCCTGCTGAACCATGGTGGGGAGTCCCTCGGCCCCCTTGGTATAGTCCAAGGGATGTGGGGTGTGGTAACTTTTAAGTATGAATTTCGAAATGCAATTCAGGCCGTTTCAACTGAGGACCCTGTGTTTATTGTCCAATCTACTAACGATGCTGAGTGCATGATATCTGGTATATCCAGACGTTAGTTCTGGACTGGGCTGACGCGTGCTCGTGACTGACAGTTATATGGAAGTCGAAAATTAAAACTGCGTGATCACTTTTACCTAGGGGTGGCATATAATGAAGGTTCGCAACGTCATCCACATAGTGAGTGAGCATCAGATCTAGTAAGGATGATTCAGTGTCCGGGTCGCACCTAGTCGCTTCTTTCACATGTTGCACTAGAGCACATGTGATAAACGCATCAACTAGTTCCTGCTCGAAAGAATTCTCCGACGATTTAGTTCGCAGATTTTCCCAGTCTACCATAGGTGCATTAAAGTCCTCTAGGATTAGACATCGACCACTTTGTGACCGAGTATTGAGACTGCTTAGCAGGACTTCATTTACCTCACAGCTTGGACTGCGGTAGACCAAATCAATCAGCAGCTCTTGTCCCTTGCATTTCAGGCGAACACTAACTAATTCACACGTCCCACTCTCATGGGATACACTGTCGATAATGGTAAATGGGATAGCATTCCTAATGAATAGAGCTACTCCCCCTCCTTTACGCTTTTGCATTCTGTCGGCCCTAACTAACGTAAAACCCTCGAAATCAAGTTCCATACTATCTATAGCCTGTATCAGTTAGGTTTCTGTAACTGCGATTATATCTGGCTTCGTAGAGTCAATCTGTACACCTAGTTCCAATCGCTTATTAAGCAAGCTCGGGCATTAGTGTAGCAGATCCGAAGCCTATTTAAGTGGCTTCGTGCTTCACC